ACTTTGGTCTGTTCTTACCATATCCTTAAGAGTCTTATTTCGTCTTTCAGCTACACCATTCATGCTAGGTGAACCCGGCATAGTGTATTGTGGGACGATACCGTATTCCTCTAGGTATCTAGTAAATGGTCCTGAACGTTGTTCACCTGAACCATCATATATTTCGTAGTACTCACCGCCACGATCAGATCTAACGGTTTTAATTCTTTTATTGAGTTGATTCTCAACTTTAGCTTTAAAAGCTTTGAACAAGTCCAGAGACTCAGATTTTTCATGAATGAGATATAGGTACCCATACGTGAGTAATCGTCTATGAATGATATAAAATATTATTGACCATTCCAAGATACCGTAAGGAATGGCCAACAAATATCTGTATGTATCAATTCTAAGACTTCTGAAGATCTATTAGCACCTAATCTCTTAACTTTGGTCTGTTTTCCCTTGATACATTCAACACAAACGTTAAAATCTGAAAAATCAAGAGAATTTAAAATGTCATCAGACACAAGATGCTCAACTCTACCTTTTGAGATATGACCCAAGCGCTTATATCATAATGTCGCCGAATTTTCTTTATTTAATTTACTCTTAGTACCACGTGATTCCACATGTAAAGTTTCATTATAAGAAGCAATTGTATCAAAGAAATATATGTTGTCATAAGTACTCAAGTAACCTGTTCCCATAATATTTGAATTAAAAGATAAACTGAATTGATTGTTTCCAAATGAACAAGAATAACCAGATTTGCCCAATACAGAAACAGAAATCAAATTCCGTCTAAAAGATGGTACTACAAAAGTATCTTTCAAATCCAAATAAGAATTAGTTCCTAACAGCAACCTAAAGTGCCTAATTGCTTCCACATCTATCGATTTTCCATCGCCCAGAAAGATGTGTCTTTCAACATCACTTAGCTTTCGGTAGCTCAGGCAACCCTGCATAGAAACACTTATGTGAGTAGTAGCACCAGAGTCTAACCACCAAGTATTTCTAGGTACTGAAGCTAAATTAACTTCAGAATAGACCAAAGTAAGGAACATACCCTTCTTAGCACGCCATGCGTGATATTTGGTACAATCCTTCTTTACGTGTCCAGCCTTATTGCAAAAGAAACAACACTGGTCATCCTTACATTATTTCTTATGAATTGGACCCTTAGCAGCTTCATTATCATTCTTCCTTTTCTTGCCCTTATCCTTAGAGGCATAGGCCAAATGAGCACTTTCAGTCTTATCTTGCTTCAACCTGCCTTCTTCTTACACACAGTATGAAATAAGCTCATTTAGAGTTCATTTCTCCTTTTGGCAGTTATAACTAACCTTAAACTGGTTGAATTGTGCAGGAAGAGATAACAAAACCAGATGCACCAATAACTCATCACAAAGATCGAGTTTAAGTGCCTTAAGCTTTAAGCAATATGAGACATTTCTATAATGTACTCCCTGATATTTTCTTTGCCCTTATACTTCATTGAAATCAAGTGAGCTAAAAGCGTGTTTGTTTCTACCTTATCGTTTTTCACAAAACGTTTCTCAATTTCGGTAAGGAAATCTTTACCCTTAGTAATCCCTTCGGGATTCTATGCCCCTGAAGGCTTTCGGAACGCCGTGCTTAATGATCATGAAACTCATGCGATTTGAACGCTCCCACTTCTCATACTCCTTCTTAACATCAGGAGTGATATCCGCATTGAAAGGTTGGAGTTGCTCAGTTCTTAATACAAGGTCTAGATCCATACCGCCAAGAACAATTAATATGTTCTCTTTCCAAACTTTGAAATTTGTCTCATTGAGCATGGGAATTGAGTTGATGTTAGCAGAAATTGTTGCAGAAGATGCATTAGCTGAAATATACAAAAGATACTCACATTATTAACTGTAATTAGTAATCAATAAAATTCAAATAATGACAAATCTCATCTCAAGATATCTGACACAACATTAATATCAAGTCTTTGGACAATAATATTAATTTGTAAGTGATACCTTGTTGTAATGATCAAACATTGACAATAACTCATGTCAAATAACGAAACTATATTTGGATCGATTCGTTATTCACATGTGAATCTTATAATTGTCATACATTTATCATCACAGATGTGTATGCAGTCTAAATAAATATTAACCTTCATTTGGGCCGATTAAATATTTATACGAAAACATACACACAACCATCTAACATCCCTCATGAACAATTTACACAAGAGAGGTTACTTTGGAAACTTCTTATTTCAATTAATCATTTGGAATGAGAGACAAATATAATACCTTAGTGTCATATTATTTGAATTAAATAATTGATTAACTACCAATTTTAATTCAAATTAAATAATTTAATTAAAATTAACAAAAAAATTCCAAAAACTTAATTAGGGCCTCATAGCTTAATTAATCAAATTAAGCATACCAAAAATGGGCCCAAAACCAAATAGAGTTAAGTGGGCTGTGCCCTTACTCAAATTGCCTGCAACCTTCTTCTTTCACCCGATGGAAAAGAAGAACAATAGAACGGATGCGAGGTTCGTTTGAGAACGAACGCGGGGTTCGTTTGAAGTGAGCACGAGACTTGCCTGAGAATGAACGCGGGGTTCGACTTGAGAACGAACGTGAGGTTCGTTTGGATTGAGCACAAGGCTCGCCTGAGGATGAACGCGGGGTTCGACTTGAGAACGAACACGAGGTTTGACTTGAGAACGAACGCATGGTTCGTTTGGATTGAACGTGGGGTTCGACTTGAGAGCGAACGTGAGATTTGACTTGAGAACGAACGCGGGGTTCGACTTGAGAACGAACGCAAGGTTCGTTTGGATCGAGCACGAGACTCGCCTAAGAATTGAGGTAACTCCCTCCTTTTGTCTTAAGTTTCCGCTGCGTTTTCACGCACGAACCCCTTGAGGTTTTATTCTGAAACCGTCACCGCCATTGCTCCCGCACCCAAAGGTCAAAACCTTAGGGTTTCCTGACGCCGTCGTCGCCGTTGGAGTCAGAGCGAGGCCGCCTAGCGAGGAGCACGGGGACCGACGACCAAACAAAAAAATAGATCCAAAAAATTTCTCGATTTTATTTCAAAATCAGATCCAGAACCAGAAAAAAAAAGATGACTTCTTGATATAGATCCCAAAAAAATCGAAGAAAAAATTCAAAAAAAATTTAAAAACTTTACTGTTCACGAAACTTTATTGTTCATCCGTGAACAGTTCTGAGAAAAAACTAGAGATTTAAGATCAAAATCCCAATTTTAAAACTTAAACCCCTAAGAATTAATCACGGGTGGCTCTAATACCACTTGTTAGATCTAAATATCTGAGATCTAATCCATAAAACCATGATTAATTCAAAGAGAATAAAAACAACAATGAGTGGAAGCAATACCTAAATCCATTGCACGGATCTGAAATTTGGGTTTTGATGATCTTCTAATCTTAAGGGTTCTCTCTTTTGAAATTCTCTTTAGATGGGAGTGGAGAGAATGAGAGTGTAACCCTAGATTAGGGACTATAACCCCTTATTTATAGTTTTTGTACTTTTATAATTTGGCCCCTCATCAAATTATAATTACAACTTGGTATCCTCACATTTAACCCATGACATATTTAAATACTCATTGATCCAATTACCTGATTGATCACTTTATGCGTGTCAACTGAAAGATAGCAACACACATTGATATAACATATGTGCCCACAAATAGATTTAATTAGATTTAAATCCAACAGAAACATGAAAGATAATGAAATGCAGTAAAAAAAGAAGAATAATAATTTGTAAAAATAGCAACTTAAACATGAATAACTCAAATTTCTGACTCAAAAGCCACACTAGATCTTGCATTAATACAAATTACAACTAGCTTATGTCAATTTCATACCATCTCAACTACATTTCATGACAAATAACATACCAAAAAACATAAGCATAACAAACAGGAGAAATAAAATCCTATTCCAAAACTTTTTTCACCTTTGAAATTCTCCTCTTTCTCTCTCAAATAAACCTCAGGTCCTCTCAATTCTCGTTCTATAGCTCTCAAATTGTTTTCATTTTCAGCTGCTTTATCCTTTCTTAACCTTCAATTTCATCTTCTTCTCTCTCAATTTATCCCTCATACCTGCACGCGCCATATCTTCTTTAAGAACTTACATCTTCCCTATAAGCTTCTTGATGATAAATTGGGCTTGGAGAGGGAAAGGCTTATTCTTCCGCTCAAAAAACTTGTACTTAATTAGAGGAATATCGATAGTTGGAACATCCGAAAAACCTCCTTCCATAGTTTTCTATCGTCCTTGCAGTCTCCAGCAAAGATCTTTCCTGACAATTACAAACCCTAGACTCCTCTTCAACCTCGAAGTTTGATGAGCCTGATGAACACGTGGGGGTTGACTTCATTCCGTTGGAAGATCTTGCAACCAAAGAGAAAGAGGAAGAAGATGAAATGGAAATTGAGCCGCAGAAGTTAGAAGTATAAAAATGAAGAAGAGTGGATTTACTTGGGGTTTTAGAAATTTTCAGGGGTAAAGATGTCCTAAAATAAGTTTGTGCAATTCACATGGGAAAGTACCAGGGAATGTTCTAACGTTAGGCTGATGGATGGTAATAACATGCAATATCTGGAAACAATATGGCAGTTAAGTGCACCAAAAAAAAAAAAAAAAAACCGTGGTACACTTGGGTAAACATTACGGTATTTAAGTGCAATTTAGCAAAGTTTAAAATACTGTAAGACTTTGAACTACAAAGGGTGTCACTATCCTGGTGCTGTTATCAAATTGTAACTCTCATGCATCTCTGGCCTGTGACAGCCCTTGCTGCAAATGTATTTTAATATAAAACAATTTACAAAATATCCTTTTTTTTGTTTGCAAATTTATTTCATGAAATATTAAAAAAATTGAAAAATATGTATATATAGAAACTCAATTCTTACCCTTATAAATGCACATCTCTTTCTTATTTTCATTACCCACATCCCCTGTCTTCCTCTTTCTTTCTGCCCCCTCGTTATCTCACTAAAAAAAATGGGTGTAGTTGATCATTTCTCAGACTTGTGTAGCTTTACAGAGACAAAGGGTACGTTGACAAAAAGGAGAAAGAAGCCACTGCAGGTTAGTAACAAAATTTCACATGGGCGATTTGAGATGGTTTGTTGAATATAATCTGCAAATAGTTGCTGTGCTCAATCTTTTCTAACCCTGTTTTTGGGCTTTTTCTTTTTCTTTTTTTTTTATTTGTTGTGGAACAGACTGTTAATATAAAGGTGAAAATGGACTGTGATGGCTGTGAGAGGAAAGTGAGGCACGCTGTTACCTCTCTGAAAGGTTACATTTTTTCTTTATTTTGCTTTAGTGTAATCAATTTATTATATAATGAAATGAAGTCCAAAACTGAGAGATTAATATATATATTCCTACTTTTTCATAAGTTATAAGAACCAGAAAAAAGTGTTATGGTCCTAATGGTCCTTAGAATATATAATTTTCTGCATGAATGATAGATCCTAGTAAAAATTTTTAGCTCAAGTCAAAAGTTATTTTTCATCTGTTTTTTCTTTTTAAAAAAGAAATCTCAATAGAACCTATTTGTATTTATCAACTTCTAACTTAGAGGTTGTTGGCAAACTGAAAGTGAATACAAATAGTGAAAGTTACTTTTTTTAGCAAATGTGAAAGTGTATCCACGTCAGCATGTAAGTGAAATGCAATTTTTGTTTAGAAAAATAAATTTATTGGTGAAATTAAAAAAGAAAAAATGATGTGAGTAAAAATGGTGTACCGATATCTATTTATTTATTTATGTAAAATCAAGATCCACGGCTAATTAGCTCCTTCTCACTGTTAATCTATTTTTGAACCGTGAGAATCTGGTTTAGAGCTAATTATTATCATCTTCATTGGAATGACAAAAACATTGAACTATTTATGTAAAATCAAGATCCACGGCTAACTAGCTCCTTCTCACTGTTAATCTATTTTTGAACCGTGAGAATCTGGTTTAGAGCTAATTATTATCATCTTCATTGGAATGACAAAAACATTGAACTATTTAGGTTGATAGATCACGCTTCAATAGTTCATAGTCTCTAGAGTTTTTTTTTTTTTTTGTTGAATCGGTGATTAGATAATTGAATTGTGCTAACACTACAGAGAAACACATAAACTTAAGACACTAGGAGGAATTAAAAAGATATAGAGTTAGTGAAAGGTCAATTTTTTACCCGTAAAAGCCAGAGATCTTATAAACACCCCGTAGACAAAAAGAATTCAACGGAGCGCGAGAAACAAGACGGAAAAGAATGAATGAAGGGAAACAAGAACGTAGGTAGCGGAGAAGAAGATAATTTCATTCGCACCGAAAATATGAGACAGCTCATGGGACAGTTGATGTATAAACATATTTTTCCTAATATTTATTATGCTTTTTATCCAACGTGTCAGATGAACAATACTAAGTAAGGACAGTTTCTTAATGTTCAAATTTAAAACCTTCCTCCTTCCTTGTCCTTCTTTCTTCATCTAGCTTACAATATTTCTTTATGGTATGTTTGGATGGAAGGTAGGCGATGGTAGGATAAAAGAACTGGGGAGTTAATCATAGCATAAGAACTGGGGTAATAGAGTAATAGAGGAGAAGAAAGAAAAAATTTACATAAGAATCTTGTCATTTTATTCCTCGTAAATCGGAATGTAGATGAGGTAAAGTGAGGAAAATTAATCATAACAGATGCTTAGCTTTCTATCATTATGGATCAATGTTTGAGATTTGATTATGATACCCTTCCTTCCCATTTCCTTCTCTTAGTTTTATCTTCTAAACATAATAAAATAAGCTTTCTTCTATTTTTTTCCACTAAACTCTTAAACAAGATATTATATTTTTTTTTATTTACTTTTGTATCTTCCTTTCCCCTATTTTATCTTCCCTTTCCTATCTACAGGAAACTGGCAAGCACCTACTAAATCTTCCATTCTTGTTTTATCCCCTTTCTTTGCTGCTGAAAATCAACAAATTAGATTAGTCTAATCTTTTTTGTGATTTGGCTTTGCACCCGACACAAAATTGACTCTAGTTGAAGTGGCTTTGCGGATATGCAGTAGTTTAGATTGTGATTTCAGAATAAAATTGATCTTTAGATGAAGAAGAGAAGAAATAGGATCCGGAAGTGAGGATGGGTTAATTTTTTCTTGGTTTGGAAGAGGCGAATCCATCCTCTCCTACAGATGCGATTTGAAACCCATTTCTGATACTCAGATCATCATGCTTATTAGCTATAATAGTTCATCCCTCCTGTGATAGATCATCATGCTTATTAGCTATAATAATTCATCCCTCCTGTGATAATATCACGGGCACCAATTTGAAAGACAATGGAAGATGAAGACGATGACCGCGGCTATAAGGATGATATATTTAGGCTAAATATTATAAAAAAAACATTTGCACTTTTGGACCAGTGGTTCGCAATAATTATCCAAAGTTAAGGGGTTTTATGATATTTACCTATATATATTTAACAGTTCATTTGTCGAGAAAGGAAAACTCCTCAGGGACCCCAAAATAGGAGACCCCTGAGGGGACAGGTGAGGTGTCAGCCCCTGGGGGGCTGTTTACTGTTCATGAACAGTAAATCAATCCCCCAGGGACTGACACCTCACATGTTCCCTTAGGGGTCCCCTATTTGGGGTCCCTGTAGCACTACTCGTCGAGAAAAGAGGAAGGAATTTTAGACAAGAATTCCCTTGCTCAAGCTTTTAGTATTATTAAATTGCTAACCAATTGCCATTGCCACATCACTTGTTTCATCATTCTGACCTATATTTGAGTCCTCCTAGCAGTACTCTCTATTTTTCTCACCTTCATCTAATTTCAATATCTTTTAGAGGTTTGCTTCGGTGCTCCAAAAATAGGCTTTTTTTAATTTTTAAATTAACAAAAATAACAAATGAGCTAAAATAAAAAGGGTATTTTAGTCTTTCAAAATTCTCTTCTAATTGCTTTCTATCCTAAACGTAACCACTCTGTTGCTTTTTTCCCTTCTCATCACATGACATAATTACTTTAAGCGAAGAACAATGAGCATAGCATAGTGTTCTATATAATTAAAAAAATTAAAAGGAAAAAGATGGGGATACCTTTCACATCGCCCCTTCACGAGAAATTTTGGAGAATAGGATGCGTCGTTGCCTTTTATAAACAATATATAAAAGGTAATTAATCAAGAGGACAAATAAGACTAGCAAAAATTAGCTTATAAACTAGGGAAATAGGATGAGTCGTTGCCTTTATCTTTCTTTGAACTATGGAAAGTGTGGTTGATTCCTCCCATGGACAAACAGTACAAAGCTACCTACCACTGAGTAAATGACCAAGACATCAGAATGAATCTGTGGATACTAGTGTGTCATGCCCCGCTTCCCAAAACATCCAGGAATCGGAACGTGAACAAGCCCGCGACGTATTAGATTGAGAAGAAATATACACTATTATTTTTTTCCTTTTCTTCTCAATCCAATACGCTAAGCGTCTGGAAATAAATACAATGCGAAGTCACAGGTCCCCGATCACAATCAGTAAGAATATAATAGACAAACCCAAAATAAAAATATCATATCACAAATGGGATAACATCTGAGACATAATAATACAGGTCAAACGTGCCCTTATACAAAAACTATCTGAATGAAATACTGGAGAATATAAAAATACACTGATCAAAAGGAGATGAAGGTGCCACAAAACAAACTGAAAGGAATAACTAAGCTTCGGCTTCTTCTTCTGCTACGTCTGCAAGACACTCATGCTAATAATCCTCTAGCTTCTGGCGATCTCCTAGCTGGACCTGTTCTTCCTCTAAGTCTGACGTACACCACAGAAAACAGGTGTACGTCAGCATGTATGGCACACGATAAGGTCCCACAAAACAAATAGAGCAACAAAAACCAAAGAGGAAAACGGTACGATAACAGAATGACAAAAGAAACGTACAACTGAAAATCTAACAAAATCAACATGCAGATTCACTACTAAAGCATGATAATCATAAGAATCCATAAATCAATTGGGTACGAAGTCATGCAGCTAGTGATCAAAATAATCATCCAAGTAACAGGGACATACACTAGATGGAATTAATACTTAAAAATCTACAACATGAGACGTAGTACGTCGAGCGAAATAATCCAAACAAGGAAACCCTCATGTATATACCATATGTCTCGAATTCTAAATAATTAAATATTAATCCCAATCTATGTATGAAAAGAAACACAACTGGACTACATCTCACAAGAAATCATACCTACCAAGAAACGAGGTCATGTAAATAGCCATCCTATGACAGGTCACTGGTTCACATCTCACATAGAGTCAAAGTTCATATTCTTGGATCACCGGTTGTTCACAAAATCATCTACGCACAACGTTTCACTACCCCCCCTCAGACCCATCCCTGTGCTACACAGGAATTTCACTGGTGTGAGCCTGGAAATAATCAATAATCACATATCACTGCACCTCAGACCCACCCCAACGCTACACAGGAATATCGTTGGTGCGAGCCTGAAAATAATCAATAATCACAATATCATATCACCTCAGACCCACCCCAGTGCTACACATGAATATCGCAGGTGCGAGCCTGGAAATAATCAACAGTACCACATATCACAACTCCTCGGACCCACCCCTGTGACTACACAAACTTCACCGGCGCGAGCCTGGGATATAACCACAATCACAAATATCCCAACTCCTCTCGTTTTTCCAAATCAACAGCACACAAGCCTCTAGATCTTATTCATGTCACACTGGTCACTATAGTCATAAACTCCTAATGATTCTCAATCACAACATGGAACAATCAATGCAACTAATCATGTGCAATAATATCATAGCATTTCAGATAATCAAAATAAGAATTATAAATCATAAACAACATCTACATAATTTGAAAAATAATCTTTTTTTAAATTAATTCATTTTCCAAAATAAATTCTTTTAAATTATTATAATTATCTAAAATGGTTTTTTTTCCGAACTAAATTCTTTTAATTCCTTATAATTATTCTAAAAATACTATTTATCATATTACTATAATATATTTTAATATTCTTCATCAAACAATCCACGCAGGTAATTATATTACAAACTAATATATACAGACAACTCATAATAGATCTGAAAATGTAAAGAACGACAAACTGAGTAACGGGATCTTGCATATACTTAATTAACAGTATAACAAAATTGTAAAGATCAGTCAAAGAGTAGTGAGATCTTGCCTATGGGTTTCGTCGATCACGTCGGCGTCGACGCGCGAGGC